CGTCCCTAGATGCATCATCCATGCAAGTTTGGTTCAGGTAGGGCTTATAATTACTTGGGAACGGACCTGCTCCAAAAACTTTAACCTGGTCACTAATCTGGAAAATCAAGGTCAGATCCAGCATCCAAAGCAAGTGTGGTAGTGTCCATCCATAGATTTGAAAGTTTGAGAGTGTTCATCCCATGATGTCTCATCCATGCAACTTTGGTTTAGATAGCCCTAATAGTTTCTTGGTAATTGACCTGCTCCAAAAACTTTAACCTGGTCACTTATCCAGAAAATGTAGGTCAGATCCAGCATTTGAAGCAAGTACAGTAGTGTGCATCTTTAGATGTATCATCGATGCAAGTTTGGTCAATATAGGGCTTATAGTTAATTGGAAATGAGATCTGCTCCAAAAACTTTAACCCAATCACTCATCCAGAAAATGTAGGTCATATTCAGCATCCGAAGCAAGCCTGGTAGTGTGCATCCTTAGATGTAACATGAATGCAATTTTTTTTTTTGTCACCCACATGTTGCAGTGGTTAGAGCGTCTGCTCTAGAGTCGCTGAGTAAGGAGTTGATCCTTACGTTGCGGGTTCAATTCCCACTGCGGGACATGGAGACCGGTCCTTCGGATGAAACCGTATTAAACCGAGGTCCCATGTGGCAGTAGGTGCTGGCACGAAAACGATCCCTCACTGCTCAATAGCCCTGAGTGTCGAGTATAGGTCAAAATTTGTAGCCCTCCACTGGCAAGTGGTGGCATCTTCATATGAGTGAAAATTTTCAAGAGGGACGTTAAACAACAATCAATCAATCACCATGCAATTTTGGTCAATATAGGGCTCATAGTTTCTTGGAAATGAGACCTGCTCCAAAAATTTAACCCTATCACTCAGCTGGAAAATGTACATCAGATCCAGGGTCCGAAGCAAGCCTGGTAGGTGCATCCTTAGCTGTAACATCCATGCAAGTTTGGTCAATATAGGGCTTATAGTTACTTGGAAAAGAGACCTGCTCCAAAAATTTTAACCTGCCTTAACCTTGTCATTCTTTAACTGAAATTGTAGCATCTGAAACCTTGACTGGTACAGTGAAACATACTAGAAGCATCCTCTATGCATCTCTGATTGATATAGGGACTAGAAGTACTTGAAAAGAAATCTGCTCCAACAAATTTAACCTGGGACACTGACATTGATGCCAAGGGTTTTACATAAACTCCCCCCAACTTCGTTGAGGTGAGCTAAAAATCTGGTAAAAATACACTTGTTTATTGTAACATGAGAGACCTGAGCAATCTCCTTGGGATCATACTTACAAGGATACTTACAAGGATAATACTGAATGCAAAATATACAAATACAATGGACACTTACCTAGTGTGTAAGGTATTTAATATATACAGATATGTTTCTGTCACTTGCCTAGTGCTACAATTAAGTACGCAAAGAGAAAATGCCTATACATTTACTTGAGGTGATGCCTCTTGGCTACACAAACAACTTAGTTGCTTGCCACTTGGTAACACTTGATACCAACACCTGCCTCTTGGGAATACAAACAAATTGGTAATGCTGGTTTCCAGCACTCACAACTTGGCTATACAACGTGGCAATTTGCCAATTGTCAAAAACTATGATATGTCCCCTAGTCAGCCTGGCTCTCTGTGACTTTTGGTCACTGATGAGGCATAAAACAACTTAGAGCAGGACTTCACAAACTAGTCTATGGTTTGTAAAACTTTCCCTGATAATCAATCATTAATCAGTACACTACAGTATACTCATACTCTTAACATATGGATTTTTTGCTACATGAATTATCTTTATGTCAATCTTCTATATTGCTTTACAGACAAGATTCCAACTTTGAGCATGCTTTTCTGATTTAAACCATTCATTCATTTTTATTTTGTTTCTACATATATATAAAACATTCTTTCTTGTATATAACCTATTAATTAAATTATATACAAGGGTTTCTTAATTAATACAATTAAGCAAAGGGGAGTAACTCTCATTTGCTTCACTTAATAATACAATTTTGAACTCTGATTGCCTCCTAGATACCCAGGAGCAGAGAGGAGGCATATTTATTAATATTTATACATTTACATTTATTTTATTGCATTGAGTTTGTTTGCTTAATACTCAGGAGCAGAGAATAAGATTTTCATAAAATTGATGCATTTCCACTATATAATCAATAGAGCCCCCCAAAATCCCTCACCCTGGGGTCACATCTTTCACAATTTAAGAAGAGAAACCCTTCCTCATCAAAGCTATGCACTTATGCTTAATACTCAGGAGCAGAGGAGAAGATTTTCAAAGAATTGATGCATTTTCACTATATAATTATTAGAGCCCTGCCCTAGCAGCAGAACCCCTGACCAAGGGGCCATGAAATTCACAATTTTGGAAGAGGCACTCTTGCTCATCATAACTATTTACTTAGTTAGTTTGTTTCATACCCACGAGCAGAGAAGAAGATTTTCAAAGAATTAATGCATTTTCACTATATATAATTAGAGCCCTGCCCTAACAGCAGAACCCCTGACCAAGGGGCCATGAAATTCACAATTTTGGAAGAGGCATTTTTCCTCATCAAAGCAAAGCATTCAGATTGTTTGATTAATACCCAGGAGCAGAGGAGAAGATTTTTAAAGAATTGATTCATTTTCACTATATATTCAACAGAGCCCCACCCTAGCACCAGAACCCTGACCCTGGTGCCATGAATTTCATAATTTCAGTAGAGGTTCAAAGCTTATTACATTCATGGCAACAGTATGACTTCTTGATGTTCAGGAGTAAAGAAGAAGATTTTTAAAGATTGCATTAATTATGATGGTTTTAGCCCCGCCCCTAAGGCCCCTGGGGGGCAGGGGCCATGAATTTCACAATTTTGTTTACCTTCACCAAAATTGGTTGAAATTAGTTCAGTGGTTCCAGAGAAGAAGCTGAAAATGTTCAAAAGTTTATGACTGATGGACGATGAATGACAACAGATGAAAACAGATAGCAGTAAGTCCCCTGAGTGACTCAGGTGACCTAAAAATGAAGCATATCTTGAAAATGTCTGTATATTAAAAGATATTGTTTAATGTCAGATTATATTCTATGATGAAGGAATAATGAATGATGCTCCACATCTGCAACATTTTCCATACAGAGATTTCGCGCTTTTGTTTGCATAGGAATCTCAGGTAAGTTTTGCAACGACTGCTTGGACGAGTTCATTGGTTACTCTGAAAGGTGACACAGGTTAAGCCTTTGTTAGCGATCTGACTTCTTTAAAGGACTTATCGCATGATTTTTCAAAAATCTTAATTTTATGAAAAATATTATCTACAACCTTGTTTATTAAAATTCTGAATACAATAAACGTTGTTGAAAGCATATTTTAAGAGATATTGAGAGTTGAAATTCAAATACGGCAATATGCATATTTCAGTCGGATTTCGGCGAAATACTGCTCTGACGTCATAGGCGACAATTCAGTGATAGAGAGATGAGAAGTTTCACACTATTTACGAAGTTATCAACGACAAATGCAGCTTAATTATGAAAAATGCTGAAAAAGTTAATTCCTACCGTGATTTTCAATTACTATAGAAACATTAACTAGTCCTAAGGTATAAGAATTTTGAGATATTTTCGTTTTTTATTCCAAACATTTAGAATCTGTAGGTCTGATTACGGCAATGTTTCGTGATCGGAAAATTATTTTTCAAGACCGCCATCCTTTACAAAACATATGAAAGCATACTTGCATGAATTAATATTATGTTAAAAACGAAGAATAACAAAGTTATGTAATATTAAATTTGTGAATCAAATAAGTTAATACATGAGATAAAATGACAAATCAAATTGTGTTGTGATGGCGAGTTTCTTCGTCTTCGCCACGTCTCCCTCGCTATCGTCGCTGCTATTTTTACAATGTTAACGGATTTTTCAGATTATTTCTTGCTGACAATTCTAAAATATAAGGTTGGATATGAAATTTCATATCGATAAAATCAGTGATTTGGTCGTCCATAACGCAGAAAATCCAGGTTGTATCGCGTATATTTTAGTAACATTTACGTGAAGAGCTGATCAGCCATTGTCGCCTTTGACGTCACAGGGTCACGTGATCGCTATCTAATTAACTTAGATTTTTAATTCAGGGGTTTTCATCTGAGTCAATAATTGGTTAATTACCGCGGTTTATCAGCAGTAAAAACACAAAATTTATAAACTGTGGTCATAAGGAACGTTTTACGCTTTTAATTTCAAATAATTTAGAAACATGCGATAAGTCCTTTAACTGAAAAAATTGTTTGTTTAAAAAAAATTGGGCTATTTTCAATAACCCATGAGGGCTGGGACTTGACACATCTGTTTTGGATTTATACAGAAGACTCTATCATTGGAAAGATTAGATGGTACACTGTACCATCTAATCTTTCCAATGATAGAATCTTCACTGCATGTAGCACAGATCTGTAATACGCTGGATTTTTTCGGAGGCTTCACCCCCCCTTCCCCCTCCACTTGGCAAGGCCTGTAGCAAGCTATTTGGATTGCTGTACATGTATATCAAATTTTGTGATGTTGTTTAGGAAATAGTAATACAAATAAAGCATGCAATACATTTATATGGACAAAGTCTCTTCTTTTTGTTTATGGGAATGGATTTTTATTACATTTTAAAGCATACATTGTAAAATAATTTAAATATAAAGCAAACAACCACCAAACTCGTCAAATTCTCAGAAATAAGGCCGATTGGGGCATGTGTTGATTTATACAATGTAATCATACTAAGATAAGGAGTATAAACATTACTAACAACAAATCTTGAATTATTTTTTGACAGATAAATAAAAGTTTTGTTTAGAAATATTTCATAGCAGTAAGAGATATGTTATTTTATAATTGACTTATGAAATCCCACAGCTTATGAAATATTGTGAGACTTGCGAAAGTTGCCTATCCTGTTAGTATATATGTCCCTCTTATAACTACCTGCAATAAACACTTAATTCTTTCTCCTGGAGTCATAATAGCTGTAGTAAAAACACCTGCCAACATTCCAGCATTAAAGAACTGTAGATATCTAAAAAAAAAAAAAAAAAATTACTCAATTAGCTTGGATCTGACTTGGCTCATTTCTTTTTCTAAGTTTTGTTTGTTTGTTTTTGTTTTTCTCTAAATAAAAAAACAAGAGGCCCACAGGCCTTATAGGTCACCTGAGTATCATGCAACAACTTTGCCACAATTAAATTGGATTCATGTTTAAAACCAGAGGCCATGAAATTCACAATTTCGAAAGAGGCACACTTACTCATCATAACTTTACATTTAGTAAGCTTACTTAATACCCAGAAAGAGAGCAGAGGATTATCAAAGAATTAACACATTTTCACTATGTAATCATTAGAGCCCTGCCCTTACACCAGAACCCTGACCCAGGGGCCATAAAATTCACATTTTTGGAAGAGGCACCCTTACATATCATAACTATACTCTTAGTTCATCGGCTTAATACCCAGGAGAAAAGGAGCAGATTTTCAAAGAATTATTGCATTTTTACTATGTAATCATTAGAGCCCCACCCTATTACCAGAACCCCTGACTCAGGGGCCATGAAATTCATAATTTTAGAAGAGGCACCTTTACTCATCATAACTATGCATTCAGTTTGATTGCTAAATACCCAGGATCAAAGAAAAACATTTTTTAAAAGAAATAATGCATTTTCACCATATATTCAACAGAGACCCCCTTACACCAGAACCCCTGACCCAGGGGCCATGAATTTCATAATTTTGAAAGAGGCACCTTACATATCATAACTATACTCTTACTTCATCGCCTTAATACCCAGGAGAGAGGGAGAAGATTGTCAAAAAATGATTGCTTTTTTACTATGTAATCATTAAAGCCCCACCTTAAAACCAGAACCCATGACCAGGGGCCAGGAAATTCACAATATAGGAAGAAGAGGCACCCTTACTCATCATAACTATGCATTCAGTTTGTCTGCCCTGGATCAGAGAAGATTTTTAAAGAAATAATGCAATTTTACTATATATTCAACAGAGCCCTGCCCTAACACCGGATCCCCTGACCAAGGGGCCATGAAATTCACAATTTTAGAAGAGGCACCTTTCATCATCATAACATGTAAATATTTTGTTTGTATAATATCCAAGAGCAGAGAAGAAGCTTTTTAAAGAAATAATGCATTTTCAGTATATATTCAACAGAGCCCTGCCCTAGCACCAGAACCCCTGACCCTGGGGCCAAGAATTTCACAATTTATGTAAAGGGCTCAATGCTCATTACATTCAGGCCAACAGTTTGCCTGTTCGATGTCCAGGAGTAAATAAGATTTTTAAAGATTGCATTAATTTTGATGGATTTAGCCCCAACGCTCAGGCCCGGGGGGGGGGGGGGGGGGGGGGGGGTGGTCATGAATTTCACAATTTTTACTCCCCTTCACACACAGATGCTATATGCCAAAGGATCAGTGCACTTAAGCTATGAGAGTTGGGTCCTGGTGCTTTGTCAAAAATAAATTTCCAAAACTTATAAACTTTTTGAATCAGAATTATTAAACGATATCTTAAGAGCAGGATTTGATATATTAATATTCTATTCTTATATACAATCATGTGCCGATATAATCAGTGTTGGTGTTGACATTTTTAGATCACCTGACCTTGAAATTCAAGTGAGCTTTTCTGATCATATTTTGTCTCACCGTCCCTCCGTCTGTAAACTTTTTACAATTTTAGCTTCTTCTCAAGAACTACTGGGTCAGTTTCAACCAAACTTGCCACAAAACATCCGTGGATAAAGGATATTCAAGTTTGTTCAAATGAAGGGCCATGCCCTCTTTCAAGGGAAGTACTGTATTTGGCTGAATATAATACGCATTGGTGTAAAATACGCAGCCCCTTTTTTGGCTTGAAAATTTGGGAAAAAACACAGTTCGTTTGTATTATATGCTGTCAAAAAATTGACCAATCAGTAATGTTGTCTTTTTTACATTGCGGTAATTTTAATTTAAAATCTTTGTGGAAATAATGTATTGAGAATTTAAGCACAGTAACTTTTCATATGCGACCTTGTTTTTTGAGCTTAGGGTACTCCTGATTTTAAGCATGGCGGTATTATTCATAGAAATAATTAAATTTTACATTATAAATCATTTTTTAAGCTACTGGCAATGTTGTTTTTAAAAATCGCGATATAATTTTATTCATTTTATCAAAGCACAAAATGTCGTCCCATTAAATTTATATCAGGCTAAATATATAAATCTTGCACTTAAACATTGCTGTTTAAATCTTCATGTGGTAATGATTTTAATCAAGAAAGCACGAAATATTATTGCATTTTATTTTATTTTTAGCTAACGGCAATCGTGACATTACACGTTGTCTTTATCCTTGCAGAAATATTTTTATTTCAACAAAACATGAAATACTGTTGAATTTTAGTTTGAACAGATCAACACGGTATAAATCATGTCTTTATACATTGAGGTAATCTTTGCAGATATCTTATTTTCTACCGAGCACGAGTAATTATAACACTTAAGTTTTAACAGACTTCATATTTCCTTTTTAAACTCTTAATTAATTTAACAAGAGGCTGATAAATATAAGATAATTAAAGTAAAATTACATTTAACAAGCGTGTAACTGTTTATTGTGTCATAATCAACACAAGTTCATACGAAAGGTAATGTACAACGGCTAAAAATCGACCCCTGAATTTTAATAAAGAAAACAATCAAAGCCATTAATAAGGGCAGTAAATAATAATTGCTCTAACTGTAAAAACAATGCTTAGGAGCTGGTAGACAATTTATTTGCCTGAAGGGGTGTTGAGATCAAGTGACAAGCGCATGTGTTCACAACATAGGTTTCAACTGGGACATATAGTATACAGTGGTGTAGTGGGGTGTTTATGTTGAAATGAATTTTCACCGTGTTATTTGAAACCCCAATTAAATGTCGATTTCATTATAAAATTGCTCAATTATTTTTTTTTCCAACCGAGTGTCTGATTAGGTACATGTTTACTATGATTACGCAAGCACGTGGCAAAGGAATGTGTGAACGTCTATAAATAACATCGTCAATGGCAGCCTACATGGAGATGATGAATATGCAGCTCAAATTAATTGTAACTTGTTTTTAATATCATTTTACAACATATTATCAATATCAACAGATAATAAATATAACAATTTCAACAAGCCTACACAGGGTTTGACACTAACGGTGGACCTGCGGCCCGAGTCCACCAAAAAATTGGAAGGTCCACCAAATGTTCTGGACTAGGTATAAAAGTTAGTGTCGAACCCTGCTACGTTCCAACAATAATTTTCCGAAGTTTTAAATACAGCGATAAACAACAAGAAATTGCCCATGTCTCTAGGTAATACTACGATATGTCCGTATGATAGCCGTGTTTCACCTAAAAGAAAAACATAGGTAATCAGAGATTACAGAGCTCATCTCAATGAATGTTGTCTTTAAGTAAGGCAAAGTCCCACAACTAAACTAATAATCTAGGAGTGTGCATCCCTAGATGCAACATTTATGCAATTTTGGTCTGATAGGGCTTGCAGTTACTTGGGAATAGACTTATCTGAAAACTTAACACTAGTCTCTCATCCAGAAAATGTAAGTGAAATCCAGCATCCGAAGCAAGTTTTGAGATTGTTCATCCCTTGATGCATCATCCATGCAAGTTTGGTTCAGATAGGCCTTATAGTTACTTGGAAATGACATCTGCTCCAAAAACTTTTACCTGGTTACTCATCTGGAAAATGTAGGTCAGATCCAGCATCCGAAGCAAGTCCAGTAGTGTGAATCCTTAGATGTATCATCCATGCAAGTTTGGTCAATATAGGGTTTATAGTTACTTGGAAATGACATCTGCTCCAAAAACTTTAACCTAGTCACTCATCCGGAAAATGTAGGTCAGATCCAGCATCCGAAGCAAGTTCAGTAGTGTACATCCTTAGATGTATCACCCATGCAAGTTTGGTCAATATAGGGCTTATAGTTACTTGGAAATGAGACCTGCTCCAAAAACTTTAACCTGCTCCAAAAACTTTAACCTGCTCCAAAAACATTAACCTGCTACCAAAAACATTAACCTGGTCATTCTTTAGCTGAAATTGCAGCATCTGAAACCTTGACTGGTACAATAAAACACACTAGTAGAATCCTCCATGCATCTCTGACTAATATAGGCCATAGAAGTACTTGAAAAGAAAACTGCTCCAAAAACCTTAACCTGGGACACCGACACTGAGGGTATTACATAAGCTCCCCCAACTTCGTTGAGGTGAGCTAAAAACTATCAAAATTCTATTGTGGTGCAAAATACGCATCCATTTCTCACAAAAACATTTTCTAGGGAAAAAGTGTGTATTATATTCAGCCAAATACGGTAGATAAGAATTAGTGAAAATTTAGTGCCATCTTTTAAAAATCTTCATAAGAACCACTGTGTCAGAAAAGTTGAAACTTATGTGAAAGCTTCATTATGAAGTGTAGATTCAGTTTTATTCAGATCATATCCATTGGGGGAAGGGTGTAACTACAAAAGGTGATCAAAGTTTTTCATAGAATATTTTGAAAAAATTCTTTCAATTTTTTTTTTTAGGAACTACTTGGTTAGAGGAGATGATACTTATGTGAAAGCTACATTCAATTTTGATGTGCTAGCTGGCATAAAAAGATCCCCAACTGCTCAATGACCCTAAGTGCCAAGTATAGGTCTTAATTTGGAGCCCTCCACTGGCAAATGATGATGTCTACATATGAATGAAAAATTCTTGAGATGGACATTATAACAACAAACAAACACAAAAAACAAACAAAATCAATTTTGTTCAAAGCATGAACCCAGGGATGGGGGGGGGGGGGGGCACAAAAATTAGTAGTTTTTCTTGCTCTAAATTTTACATAAAAAGGGACGATTTTACGATGCACTGATGCAGTTATCAATCATCATACAGACTTACAGAGTACAAGATGGGTAAAGAGAGACAAAGCTACACTGCATAAAAAAAACTAAAAGTCATCA